TGAGAGGCAGGTTTCTTGTCAAAAAAGGTACAGGTTGGTGTTCAGGCACAGCCTGAACAGGGAGGAAGGAACATTAAAGTGACTTGGTAGTGAAGGGGTCCCTGCAATGAAAGCCCGAGACCTTCTCCCATCCCCCAGAACAGTGGCAGGGAACTGAGTGTGGAACAAGAGAGAACAGAAATGGTCTCGGGAGAAGCTGCACTGAGACCAGAGGGGAAAGAGAAAAGGGACAGAAGAGGACCAGGGGAAGGCTCCTGCAGCTCACCTGGTTCACCGAGGAGGAGAAGGCAGGAGAAGTGGATGAGGGACCTGCAGCTGGACGGGTTTTATAGAGCCCAGCACAGCCCAGGGCACCCTCCCTGCGTGTTTACCAAGCTCATCACGCATGGAAAACACTCCCTGCTCCTGAAAGAGGCTTTGATTTGGTGCTGCAACGCTCCTTCCCCGTTTCCATGCTGGTGGCATCCCCCTTCCAGCCCAGAGCCTTGTTTTCTGTGCCATAATTAGAGATCAAACGCTTTCCGTGCCCAGCGTTGTTGGTGCAGGTAATTTAGACATTTATGGTGATCTGCTTGGAAAGCAACGTGTTTTTCCTCCTCTGCCTCTCAGTTTAGTCACTGGCTTGTCTGTCTGAGGGCCATTTCCAAATTAAAATTAAAATGCTGCCAGACTCACCCCAGAGAGCTGCAGATTGGGAACATTTGCATGTTTTGCACAAATGCAGTTCCAGGTGTTTTTCTCTGTGTCATGCACCACATGTCTGGTTTGAATTTCTCACTGAGAACCAAGTTTTGTTTTAGATAAAAGCCTAATTAGGTCACAAACCCTCCATGGCACCCATTTTTTAGTTTTTCAACCATTTTATTCCAGAAACCCTCTCATGGTTTATATTTATTATGTCACTCCCTTCAACTTTTTTAGCATCTCCAAGTACTTTAAATTCCTGGCATGTACCATCAGAGTTTTTAAAAATGTTTGGTTTTTCAAGTAATTTTTGGGAATAATTCCTCCTCTGACCCGCAGAGCAACTCCTGGAAAGTCTCAGGGAGTGGTTTTTCCCTCCCTTTTTCCACCAGGAGCTGGAATGTTCCTCAGTGGGAACAAACCACTCAGCACCTGCTGCTGGACATGGGCCATTGGGCAAATTGTGTCCCTGGCCTAATTAGGGCTGGCCTAAGCTCGGGTTTTATGTCCTGGCACCACAATTTGGTGGCCAGAACATCCACTTAAGAGTATTCAGACAGCTCTGCAAAGGAATGAGAGCAATTGGGAACATAATTTGTGTTTATTTGTTACCAAACCCAAACACAGAAACCCAAATGTTTCACTCAGGTGGTGCAACAAACAGTCATTCCTACAACAGTCAAGTCATTTCAGGGGGTAATTTTGCCTGACCAAATGAAGGAAGTCTGCAGCTTGAATTCTTGCATCCTGAACCATTTCTGTTTAATTTCCTTCATTAAGCAGAGTTTAATATGTCATGATTGCAGCAAAACAAGAATTAAATTGCCTGTGAAGGGATAAAATTGTTCAACCAGCGGAGTTTCTGCCCATCATCCCACACAGATTTGGGATTTTATTTGTATAATTTTTTAATTCCTTTTTAAGGATTCAGGAACCAAATTAATTGGGAAGGCATCCTGTAATTATTGAGGCTGAAGAAGTGATCAGCTCCAGGATGTGATCAATCCAAAGCCAGGTTGGACAGGACATTGAGCAACCCGGGCCAGTGGGAGGTGTCCCTGCCCCAGGCAGGGGGTGGAATTAGAAGATCTTTAAAGTCCTTTTAACCCCAAACCATTCTGTGAGCCCACAAATAATGGAATTTGGGGTTAGAAAATATTTTTTTTCATTAAAAAAGCACCTTCCACTCCAAGTTTCCTCCCAAACAGTATCAGAATCCCGATCTTTCCTTTCCCCTCATCCCACAGTCAGAAGCCACCGGGGTGTGTCTGTCTGTGGGTCCCCAGGGCTGGGCAACAACAGGGAAGCTTCTCCTTTGGTTCCTTTCAAGGGAAGAACTTCAAAGTTAGTCCCAAATATTCATTAATGGTTGAGACACACGGAGGGCACAAACTATGTAAATATTGCAAGTCTGTGACAAAATTTCAGTAGTTCTGTCACTGGGTCAAGATTGGGCAGCTGAGGCCACTCCCTGAACCGCCTCCCAAACCAGGGCTGGGAGGAAAGGCTGGGAAAATTGGGATTGTTCAGCCTGGAGAAGAGAAGCTTTGGGGTGACCTGACTGTGGCCTTCCAGGACCTGAAGGGGCTCCAAGGAATGTGGGGAGAGACTTTGGACAAGGGCCTGGAGTGGCAGGACAAGGGGGATGGTTCAGAGTGACAGAGGGAAGGGTTAGATGGATATTGGGAAGAAATCCTTCCCTGTGAGGGTGGGGAGGCCCTGGCACAGGTTGCCCAGAGAAGCTGTGGCTGCCCCTGGATCCCTGGAAGTGTCCAAGGCCAGGCTGGAGCAACCTGGGACAGTGGAAGGTGTCCCTGCCCGTGGCAGGGGGTGGAACAAAGTGATTTTTAAGGTCCCTTCCCACCAAAGCATTCCAGGATTCCGTGGTTTCCTGTAATCCCTCCTCTGAGAGGCAGAGACACCCAAACCCATGGGGGGAGTCCATTTGCATCTACCTGGACACAGGTTCCCTGAGATAGTAAATGATTTTATCCATTCAATTAGTGGGATTTAATATGGAAACTGTGTAGGAAATTAAAAAAAAAAAAAGAAAAAGCATGATGAGGCCAAGAATCCTGACCTGGTTATGAGCTGATCAGTGGAGTGACAGCTGAGGCTTTGCTCTGTTTATCTTAAAGGGGTTTTATTTCTCAATTCCCGGGTGCGTGGAGCCAGCAGCACAGCGGGATAATCACACAGCACCGGGAATGCAGGACCCATTAATGAGCACCTGGCACTGGCAGCTGATGGGGAGGACGCCGAGCTCCTGATAAGAGTCTCAGCCTCGGGGATCCCTCCAGCACAGCTCAGCGCTTGGGAGGCGTTTGCAGAGGAGGATTTTTACTGCTCTGTCAGAGGAGCAAACGAGGAGCAGGTAAACAACTGCAGGCAGGGATTCTGTCTGCAGGGAAGGGCAGAGCTCACACACTTTCCCTGCTCGTCCCCTGGGCTGAGCTGCAGGTTTGGGCACAGCAGCCCAACGATGGGCTACGTGGGGACGAGGTTTGTGTCACCTTTGGTGGCTGCAGCTCTTCCCCTGATCCTCAGGGACAGACCCTTTAACTGAGGTTGGTGCCCAAATAAGCAGAGCTTGAGTGAGGAGGGACACGTGGTCCCTCAGGAAGGGGGAGCACGGCCAGAAATGTCCCTTTCTCAGGAACAAAACCACCCATTTCTGCCCAGGCAGAACGACCCCAATTCTCC